GATTAAAGTAGGCCATTTCCTCATTCAGACAAGCACAATGGATCCTTTGACATTTTCAACAACTACGAGTCACCAACAAGTACCGCAACCACCTGTTCCATCATTGCAAGCACCTGAAGCGAAGTCGGAGGGCAAAATCTCTAAGGAAGAAACTGTGGATGATTCTGATGACTCCAGAGATGAAGTTATTGACTTGATTCCACCAGACAGTAAAATGGTAAATTTTTAGGTCTTCATTTCATCATTTTTTCTTCTGAATTTGGTTACTTTAGGGTAAACTCTGGAAGCGTGTTGAACTTTTACCTGTAAATGGGCACGTGCGGAAGAAGATGGTTCCGTCTTCGATTAGATTCAGCCCTGCGGCAGATGTTAGGATACTTTGTGCTACTCTGACTACTCGCAGAGCACCCTTGCACATGCCGCCTGACTATCAAAAACTTGTACGACTCATGGAGAAACGAGTGCCCAAACATGTGGATACTTTGTTTTCCACACAGTTTTCGACGTCAATACCCACCACAGTTCCATCTCAAATGCCGCCAGTAGCTGTGACATCATTCCCGAACCCGAATAACTATAAGCCCACGTTTGGTCCAATATCGGGTGGGATGACTCCAAACCCACCGCTGCAGATGCCTACGATGCAACCACCACAGCCTCACCATATTCAGCAGTTTCCAGCTTCTCAGGTAATTCGCATTTGCCTCCTAAGTATGTTATTTTTTTAATTTCTATTAATATCAGATCCGCACTCCACCGATGATGGGTGGTCGCATGGGAACTCCTGTAGGCCCAGGGCCTGGAACTATGGGACCACCATATGCGCCTACCTCTGGACCTTATGGGCAGATGATGGCGCCTCCAAACTCTGTCCAACAACTGAACAATTTCGTACATGGACCTATGTTCAATGCGGCCAATGGGCAAATGAATCAGCATCATCCTATGGGTGGGATGGGTCCAATGGGACAACCGATGGGCCAGCCCATGTATCCTGGACAGGTTTGTCTCAGGTTTCCTGCCTATTTCTTTTCTGCAAGAACTTATGAAATATTTAGATGCCCATGATGCAGCCATGTACAACCGCTGGATATGGTGCGCCACCTATGATGGGTGGATACGGGCCGTCAGGACCGAATATGATGGGTCCACCGCATCCAAATGCTCCGCCTGCATATCCTGGTGCTCCTGGGCCACCACCTGCTTATGGAACATTGAATCAGATGCAGCCCATACAGCCGCCTCACATGCGTCAAATGCCCATGAATCCTATGCAACAGGTAAATTCTGAATTTCTTTTCAATTGATTCTCATTTCCTATTTGCTTTTAGATGATGTCCTCTCAATCGCCACTGCCAATGATGAACACCTACGGCGCCAATCCCCCCGGGTCTAATACTAATGGAATGCATATGGCGACCCAGCCATCACGAGAAGTCATTGTTCCTTATGCAGAAGGCTCAAGTGT